ACTAAGTAATTACACAATTTCAAGCATTTTATCTGCGTTATATATTCTGTAAAAAAAAATTAATATCGGCGGCATATCCGCCGATACCGATATATCGCAACAGGCTCATATCGGCAAAACGATATATCGGTCGGGCACTAAAAACTATATCGCGATAATTATCGCTATCGAATTATCGCCCAGCCCTATCATCCACGATCAAAAATCGTCATATCGCACACCCCTACCTTATACTATACTATCACCCATGAGAGAAGAGTAGACAGGGATGACAGAGAATTATTACACAGTCACATTCGCAATCTCATCACAAACCCAGGGAACTTACAGTTTATTACACATCTCTTCACTAGGCTGGAGAGCTTCACCTCTTCCATATATTGTTAACTCATACTGTGTCTGAAGAATTAATTGTGAACACTGACAGGAGGCTGGAGAGTTATGACAAACAATTGACTGCTGCGCAGATTTTAGGCTGCTTTCTATGAATATTTTATACAGCTGGCACTGAGTGTAGGAACGATCTCTCTACGCATTAAGAAGCATGCTTGTGCTGCTATGAGCTATGCATTCATATCTCTTGATTAGCAGCCAGGCTAAGCAGACTGGACTTGCATCTGATTAATTCATGAGCACTTTCTCTGGTCATTTGAAATAGGCCATTATCCTTCTATACATGCCAACCGCAGAGGGGAGGATCATATGAAACCATTCTGCCGTAATTATCCTGGGAGCTAAAATAAAAATAGGATCCACTGACACTCTTTAGACAGGGATAGATAGAGAGGTATTATTGTAGACTAATATAGAGCTGTTAAGCCTTGCCATTGTCATTATTCAGTATTCAATTATGAAACATGAAATCAGCAGGTTTATGAATTGTTAAAGAAATCCTGTGATGTGTTTTTGAATGTTACTGAGGAAAAAAAATAATATGGGGAAGGACTTGGGATCATATCACATAAGCTTTCATTGAGAAAAATTGTTAGCCTGATTAAAAAAAAATAATAATAAAAAAAAAATATATATATATATATAAGTAAAAATACAAAATTCAAAACTATTGCATTTACATGGAGTTACAAACTTGTTACAAAGCCCAGAATGAACGTTATGCTTCTTTAATAGGCTGTAAGAGTAAGACATGATTTGTGTACAAACACTTTTATCCAACAGCATAGTGCTACTCTATGATGGGTAAGGCGAGAGTGAAGTGTGCTCTCACTCCTACTCCTCCTACAGAGGTCAGTGTGTGTGTATGTGTGTATCTGGCTGCAGTACAGCTGAAGTAACCAAACCCCTCCTGAGAAGAGTCACTCACCCATAGTTTGCTCTCATAATAGAAAGCATCCAGCAGTTTGACTATGTACTTATGGTCACAGGAGGCGAGGATGTCGATCTCCACCATGTAGTCCTCCAGCTCCTCTTCTGTTTTGGTATCAATCACTTTAGCTGCAGCCAGGATCCCGGTCTGTTTGTTCTGAGCCTGTGATGAAAGCAACCAGTGGGAAACATTCAACAGGTAGCAAAGGCATACAATGTGTTCTATGATGCTGTACAGGCCTGGTATTCAAACAGCAGCTCTTGCAACAGTTTAATGTAAGTGACGGGGGCTTTTTCTTCATTCTGTAACAAATTTTCATCTGAGCTGTAATAACGCTTAGTGTCATTGCAAGTCACATCTATGATGCAGTGGTGAATGGCGATGTTACATAAGTGCCAGCGTGGCACTGGCCCACTCAGATTGATGGCTAGTCCACCCAATGTATATATGCAAAGTATAAGAAAAAAGTAATAACATTCTGGTGGATGAGTGCTGACCTATCAGTTGTGTGCATCTACTCTATGGCGAATGGTAATTGCAGGAGCTGAGTGATTAATCCAAACCAAGTGCAACAGCCTTGCACCAAATTGGTCTTTACTTATTGTCCCTACTCATTACACCCACCCACAACACCTGAGATCCAGTTTCTATTGGTTGAATTTCCCAACGTTTTCAAATGACATCGGAAAACACTGCATTATCATCATTGCAACCCAACCGAATTTAATGCCACTTTATTTGATTTTTTCACTTAATTTATGTTTACCAGGGTGTCTACAGATATGAACAAGTTAAATTTAAGACTTTTTAAGACCTTTTTAATACCACCTTATGTGAAATTTAAGACCAGGCCTGTGATGGAAATACACATTATATTACATATGTATATGTAATATTTAACGCGTTTAAATGTAAAAAGAAAACAAAATATCATCGCTGTCAAAAATTATATTTGTTATTACGATATACAGTGAACTTTTCATATCAGCAGACAATATCCCATATAAAATATTCCCACAGCAATAATTCTGTTCTGATCTTTGTTTGGAACTATTTTCGTTGGTGAAATAGAACAAAACAGTCAATTGTGTCTAAAAATGTAAGTAACTTCATATACTTTACTACTTGTTTGTTGAACTAAAATCAATGTAACATTTGCAATCGTGAAAATATTCAGCAAAATAGATCCCTTGTCATGGTATGTTACTTGACTATATCATGCTATAAATAAACTAAACATTTTGAATTTTTACCTCAGTATGTTTGTTCTGTGAGTTTCTTTATGTGTGCCGTACGTTCATTTGATTTGATTTCTCCATGAAAGTCTCTCACAGAGACAGGCAGCACGAGCCACAACAGCGCGACATTGACAATAGAAATACACTATCAATTATCAATCGCTGTTTAAGCTGAATGTAATAAAATCAGAAGAATCATTCGAGCGTTTTGATGCGTGATTATATTTTGTCACTTAAGTTTTAATCAGGCTATTAGTCCTGTCGGGCAAGTACAATTCTCAAGCCATTTTTCAGTAAACTTGCATTAACCCATTTAAAGTAGTTTGGAGGCTGGTCAGCGAGTTGGTGTTTGACTGTATTCTGTAACCGCAATTCTCTCTGATGACGCGGTAACTACAGCGGGGGGGAAGAAGTACTCTTGATGGACACTCACTGGGTCCGTCAGAGTCGGTCAGACTGGAGAAATTTTTGTGGTAATGTGACCAAAAATATTTAAGACCTACTGAACCTGAATTTAAGACATTTTAAGACTTTTTAAGGCCTTATTTTAGGAACACTTTATTTAAGACATTTTAAGACTTTTTAAGGACCCGCGGCCACCCTGTTTACCTCAACATCTACGCATTGTGTTATGGTGTTTGGGCTTATTATTATAATTATTTTAATTTTTTTTACATGAGAGAATCTGCATCCCTATTTTTCTCTCATGTATTGCAAAATGATGTTCTTTAGTTTGAGAGAAGGCTCTGAGGTCGTCCCTATTTCACCAAGGTCCACTTTAAAATTTCTGGCCTCGCCACTGCTATAATGTGCTTTTGCACACTGGCAACCAATCGGGCACAATCAATAATTTGAAGCTCAATTTCTCTGGTCTCAGCCTCGGACTGCCTACATAGCATTCGCTAAACATTTGATGCATATGGCATACTAAACTGGAAACACTCCTGCAAAATCTAAATCTGATTGGCTGACTTCTACCAGGTTTCTGGGAGCCTAGTGTGTAGGGTTGGGTACCGAATTGCGTCGGTACTACAGAGTACCGATTCACGTTAAATCAATCGGTGCCAAATTTCGGTACCTGAGAACGCATCTGAGCGCTTACGCTACAGAGAGAGAAAGAGAGACCCTGTGACGTGAGGTCACCCCTGCAACTCGTTCAAACAACACACAGGGCAAGCCGAAATGTTCTGAAGTGTGGTTACATTTCTAGGGCCATATGGTTTCTGAGAAAACGCGGACGGGAGCACAGAGTCCATTCATAAAAACATAATTTACTCTATAGTAATAGAATTCGTTTTTCGGCCTCTGCGTCTCACTATATGACGGCATGAACACAAAAACAATCTCCAGAGCTGCTGTGAGAATCACTTAAATTAAATGATAAAAATAAATATTACAACCAGATTAATCACTTAAAGTCGGCATGAAATCAAAATTGACAATTCTTATTTTTTGTTGCAATACTGCAGTGTTTATTATAAATAATTTATCTGTGCACTTCACCTCTACTCTTCCGGTCACGAGCTATGGCGCAAGGGCGGAGCTATCTGGAACTGCCAACAGCTGCAGTGACATCAGTGACGTTTGGAATAAACGACGGGGAAAAGCTGAAGCTGATGCTTCACTTTATAGCACCAGTGAGGTATAACACCAGTCATGAGGGAGTACGTTACCCTTAAACATTGAAAAGATATTAGGATATTAGGACAACATCACTCCTAGAACATCGCAAAAACTAATTTTTATTTTTTTCATTAATATGACTTAACCTGATGGAGGATGTGCTCAGTCATTCAGGCAGTCTCTCTCTCTCTCTCTCT